TGTCACTGTCACTGTGTCACTGTCACTGTGTCACTGTCACTGTGTCACTGTCACTGTCACTGTCACTGTCACTGTCACTGTGTCACTGTCACTGTGCACCTGGAGCAGGAGGAGCCGCCCCAGGGGACAGGGGACGGGGACACGGTACTCTGTCACCTGTATGGGGACACTGGGGACACTGCCACCATGTCGTTGTCACCACACCTCGTGCTGTACCACCTGTACAGCAGGACACCACCGGGGACATTGGGGACATTGAGGACACTGCCAGTGTGTCAATGTCACTGTGTCACTGTCACACCTCGTGCTGCGTCACCTGCATGGTGGGACACCTCTGGGGACATTGGGGACACTGCCAGTGTGTCACTGTGTCACTGTCACACCTCGTGCTGTGTCACCTGTCCAGTGGGACACCTTTGGGGACACTGGCCGTGTGTCACTGTGTCACTGTGTCACTATCACACCTCGTGCTGTGCCACCTGCACGGTGGGACACCTCTGGGGACACTGTCACCAAACCCTGTCACCTGCTCAGGGATGTTGGGGACATCACCGTGTCACTGCCACCTTGCTGTGCGGCCACTGCCACTGCAGTGTCACTGTCACCATGGCTGTGCCACCTCTGGCACCGTGGCTGTGTCACTGTTGTCACCACGGCTGTGTCACCATGGCTGTGTCACCGTTGTCACCATGGCTGTGCCACCACCATTGTCACCATGGCCATGTCATCGGGGCTGTGTCACCGCTGTCACCATGGCCGTGCCACCACTGTCACCATGGCAGTGCCACCACTGTCATCATGGCTGTGTCACCATGGCCGTGTCACCATGGCTGTGTCACCATTCCTGTGCCACCACTGTCACTGTGACTGTGTCACCATTGTCATCATGGCTGTGTCACCATTGTCACCATGGCTGTGCCACCATTGTCATCGTGGCTGTGCCACCACCGCTGTGTCACTGCTGTCACCATGGGTGTGTCACTTTTGCTGCATCACCATTGTCACCATGGCTGCCACCATCACCAGGCCATCGTTGTCACCGTTGCAATGTCACCATGGCTGTGTCACCACTGCCACCATGGCTGTGCCACCATTGTCACCATGGCTGTGTCACCATTGCCACCACAGTTGTGCCACCACTGCCATCGTGGCCGTGTCACCACGGCTGTGCCACCACCGCTGTGTCACTGTGGCTGTGTCACCATTGTCACCATGGCTGTCACCATCGCCAGGCCATCGTTGTCACCGTTGCCGTGCCACCATCACTGTGGCACCGTTGTCACCGCTGCCACCTTGGCTGTGTCACCGTTGTCACCTTGGCTGTGTCACCACCACCACCAGGCCACCGTCACCGTGCCACCGCTGCCACCTTGGCTGTGTCACCGTTGTCACCACGGCCGTGTCACTGTTGTCACCGCTGCCACCTTGGCTGTGTCACTGTTGTCACCACTGCCGTGTCACCGTGCCACCGCTGCCACCTTGGCTGTGTCACTGTTGTCACCACTGCCGTGTCACCGTGCCACCGCTGCCACCATGGCTGTGTCACTGTTGTCACCACGGCGGTGTCACCGTTGTCACCGCTGCCACCTTGGCTGTGTAACCACCACCAGGCCACCGTCACCGTGCCCCCGCTGCCACGGCGCCGTGCCACCGCCCCCGTGCCACTGCCACCACCGACACCTGGGGGACGACGCCACCGCTGTCACCAGCGTGTGTCACCAGTGTCACCGCTGCCACTGTGTCGCTGCTGTTACCATTGTCACTGTCACAATGTCACCAATGTCACCGTTGTTACTGCCACCGTGTCACTATTGTCACTGTGTCACCATTGTCACTGTGTCACCATTGTCGCTGTCACCGTGTCATCACTGTGTCACCATTGTCACCACTGTCGCTGTGTCACCGTTGTCACCACCACTGTGTCACCCTCATTGTCACCTCCCTTGTGTCACCACTGCCTATGTGTCACCAGCACTGCATCACAATTGTCACCACCACTGTGTCACCGTTGTCACCCCCCTTGTGTCACTGTTGTCACCTCCATGGTGTCACCATTGCCACCATTGCTGTGTCACCGTTGTCACCTCCGTTGTACCACCACTGTCACCAACCCTGTGTCACCATTGTCACCCCCACTGTGTCACCAGTGTCACCATCGCTGTGTCATCATTGTCACCATTGTCACCCCTCCATGGTGTCACCATTGGAGGCTTCCTTGTGTCACCATTGTCACTGGTGTCACCTGCACTGTGTCACCATTGTCACCTCCACTGTGTCACCACCGTCACCTTCATTGTGTCACCATTGTCACTGGTGTCACCTCCACTGTGTCACCATTGTCACCATCACTGTATCACCATTGTCACCTCCCCTGTGTCACCATTGCCACTGCCACTCTGTCGCCATTGTCAGCATCCCTGTGTCACCATTGTCCCCTCCCCCGTGTCACGTTGACTGTGTCACCATTGCCACCATCCCTGTGTCACCATTGTCCCCTCCCCCGTGTCACGTTGACTGTGTCACCATTGCCACCATCCCTGTGTCACCATTGTCCCCTCCCCCGTGTCACGTTGACTGTGTCACCATTGCCACCATCCCTGTGTCACCATTGTCCCCTCCCCCGTGTCACGTTGACTGTGTCACCATTGCCACCATCCCTGTGTCACCATTGTCCCCTCCCCCGTGTCACGTTGACTGTGTCACCATTGCCACCATCCCTGTGTCACCATTGTCACCTCCCCTGTGTCACCATTGTCACCTCATTGTGTCACCGTTGTCACCTCCCCTGTGTCACCATTGCCACTGCCACTCTGTCGCCATTGTCACCATCCCTGTGTCACCATTGTCACCTCCCCCGTGTCACGTTGACTGTGTCACCATTGCCACCATCCCTGTGTCACCGGTGTCACCTCCCTTGTGTCCCCACTGTCCCCACCCCCGTGTCACCACTGTCACCACTGTCACCTCCCCCGTGTCCCCACTGTCCCCACCCCGTGTCACCTCTGCTGAGTCAGCACCGTCCCCCCCACTGCGTCACCGCTGCCACCCCCGCCGTGTCCCCATTGTGTCACCGCTGTCCCCAATGTCCCCATCGTGTCCCCAGGGCCACCCACGCGGTGTCACCTGCCCCGGCCACGCCCTGGGTGCCACCCGCTGTCCCCTCCCCCCCGGCCCGGGGCCCTTTGGGGACATCTGGGGACATCTGGGGTGGGGGCTGGGGACACCAGGGTCCCGTTTTGGGGGGTTGGGACCCCCAAAATGTCCCCAAATGTCCACAAAATGTCCCCCAGAACCCCCCAAATGTCCCCAAATCCCTCCCAAGTGTCCCCCAAAATGTCCCAAAGCCCCCATTTGCCACCAAATCCCCCACAAGTCACCCCCAAATGTCCCCGAGACCCAGAAAATGTCCCCAAATGTCCCCAAATCTCCCCCTAAATGTCCCCAAATCCCCTCAAATGTCCCTAAATCCCACCCAAATGTGCCCAAATCCTCCTCAAATGTCCCCAAATGTCCCCAAATCTCCCCCTAAATGTCCCCAAATCCCCTCAAATGTCCCTAAATCCCACCCAAATGTGCCCAAATCCTCCTCAAATGTCCCCAAATGTCCCCCAAGCCCCTCCAAATCCCCCAAATCCCCCCCAAAATGTCTCCAAATCCACCCCAAAAGTCCCTAAATCCCCCAAATCCCACCCAAATGTTCCCAAATACCTCCAAATGTCCCCAAAGACCCCCAAATCCCCCTCAAATGTCCCCAAATCTCCCCCAAGTGTCCCCAAATCCCCCTCAAATATCCCCAAATGTCCCCAAATCACCCCCAAATGTCCTCAAATCCCCCCAAATCCTCCTCAAATGTCCCCAAATCCTCCCCAAGATCCCCGAGTGTCCCCAAATCTCCCCAAACAGACCCCAAATCCCTCCAAAGTATCCTCAAATGTCCCCAAATCCCCCTCAAATATCCCAAATGTCCTCAAACCCCCCTAGATGTCCCCCAAACGTCCCCAAATCCTCCCCCAAATCCCCTCAAATGTCCCCAAATCTCCCCAAAATGCCCCGAAATGTCCCCAAGTCCTCCCCAAATGTCCCCAAATCCCCCCAAATGTTTCCCAACGCACCCAATGTCCCCCAAACCCCTCCAAATCCCCCCCAGATGTCCCCAAATCCTCCCAAATCCCCCAAAATGTCCCCAAATCCCTCCCTAAATGCCCCAAATGTCCCTCACCACCCCTCTCCCCTCAGCCCCTCTCCCCTCTCAGCCCCTCTCCCCTCTCAGCCCCTCTCCCCTCACAGCCCCTCTCCCCTCAGCCCCTCACCGCCCCGCAGTGGAAGTCGGGCCCCCATCGGTCCAGCGCGGTCCTGGCGCTGCTGCCGCGGCTCCCCACCAACGTCACGGCGATGGCGTCGCTGGTGCCGGCGCCGGGGGCGCTGCCGGTGCGGACCCGCAGCCGGTACGCGGCCATGGCGGCGGCGCTGCCCTCACGGTGATTGACGCGGGGCGGAGCCAATGGCGGCGGGGCTCGCGCGCCGCCCGGCCAATCGGAGCGCGGCGCGGCGGGGCGCGGCCAATGGCGGCCAAGGGAGGTGGGGATGGGCGGGGATAAGCCGTCACGTCCGCCTTCACTTCCGGCGGCGCTTCCGGGTGCGATGGACCCCGAGTTCGACGATGTGGTGGCGGTGGAGGATCTGATGGTGAGGCCACGCCCCCTCCGCGCCTGGACACGCCCCCTTTTCGGCAGCCACGCCCACCCCCGTGCACCCCCCCGACCGCCGCGAGCCCCCCTGGCCACGCCCCTTCTGCGCCCCGGCACCGCCCGGCTGGGCCACGCCCACTCGCCCACGTAACCACGCCCTCCGTGTGGCCACGCCCCTTTATTGAGTGACCACGCCCTCGTCCGCCTTGGCCACGCCCCCTCCGGGGACCCCGGGGTCTTCGCTCCGGGGGCTCCGCCCCTTGTGGCCACGCCCATTGGTGGCCACGCCCATTGGTGACCACGCCCTCCTGGTAAGCCCCGCCCACAAAGCCCCCTCCCAGTGACCCCCCAGTGCTCCCAGTAAGGGCCCAGGGACTCATCCCAGTGCTCCCAGTATGGCCCCAGTGCTCCCAGTAACCCCCAGGGACTCATCCCAGTGCTCCCAGTATGGCCCCAGTGCTCCCAGTAACCCCCAGGGACTCATCCCAGTGCTCCCAGTAACGCCATAGCGCCTTCCCAGTATGGCCCCAGTGCTCCCAGTATGGCCCCAGTGCTCCCAGTAACCCCCAGGGACTCATCCCAGTGCTCCCAGTATGGCCCCAGTGCTCCCAGTAACCCCCAGGGACTCATCCCAGTGCTCCAGTGCTCCCAGTATGGCTCCCAGTGATCCCCCAGTGCTCCCAGGAAGGGCCCAGGGACTCATCCCAGTGCTCCCAGTATGGCCCCAGTGCTCCCAGTAAGGGCCCAGTGCCTTCCCAGTATGGCCCCAGTGCTCCCAGTATGGGCCCAGTGCTCCCAGTAACCCCCAATGACTCATCCCAGTGCTCCCAGTATCCTCCCAGTCACTCCCAACATCCTCCCAGTGCTCCCAGTAACCCTCCTGTGCCTTCCCAGTACGGACCAGTCCTCCCAGTAACACCCAGTGATTCATTCCAGTATCCTCCCAGTCACCCCCAGTGCTCCCAGTAACCCCCAGGGACTCATCCCAGTGCTCCCAGTATGGGCCCAGTGCTCCCAGTAACACCCAGGGACTCATCCCAGTGCTCCCAGTATGGCCCCAGTGCTCCCAGTAACACCCAATCACTCATCCCAGTGGTCCCAGTAACACCCAGTGCCTCCCCCAGTGCTCCCAGTATCCTCCCAGTGCTCCCAGTAACACCCAATTACTCATCCCAGTGCTCCCAGTAACCCCACAGTGCCTTCCCAGTATGGCCCCAGTGCTCCCAGTAACACCCAATCACTCATCCCAGTGGTCCCAGTAACACCCAGTGCCTCCCCCAGTGCTCCCAGTATCCTCCCAGTGCTCCCAGTAACACCCAATTACTCATCCCAGTGCTCCCAGTAACCCCCCTGTGCCTTCCCAGTATGGCCCCAGTGCTCCCAGTAACACCCAATCACTCATCCCAGTGGTCCCAGTAACACCCAGTGCCTCCCCCAGTGCTCCCAGTATCCTCCCAGTGCTCCCAGTAACACCCAATTACTCATCCCAGTGCTCCCAGTAACCCCACAGTGCCTTCCCAGTATGGCCCCAGTGCTCCCAGTAACACCCAATGATTCATGCCAGTGCTCCCAGTAACCCCCAGTGATTCATCCCAGTGCTCCCAGTGCTCCCAGTAACCGCCAGTTACTCATACCAGTGCTCCCAGTCTCTCCCAGTAAGGGCCCAGTGCCCTCCCAGTCTCTCCCAGTGCTCCCAGTGCCATTCCCAGTGCTCCCAGTAAACTGCCATTAACTCCTCAGCCCCTTCCCAGTTCCCTCCCAGTAACCCCCAGTGATTCATTCCAGTGCTCCCAGTATCCTCCCAGTCACTCCCAACATCCTCCCAGTGCTCCCAGTAACCCTCCTGTGCCTTCCCAGTACGGACCAGTCCTCCCAGTAACACCCAGTGATTCATTCCAGTATCCTCCCAGTCACCCCCAGTGCTCCCAGTAACCCCCAGGGACTCATCCCAGTGCTCCCAGTATGGGCCCAGTGCTCCCAGTAACACCCAGGGACTCATCCCAGTGCTCCCAGTATGGCCCCAGTGCTCCCAGTAACCCCCAGGGACTCATCCCAGTGCTCCCAGTAACGCCATAGCGCCTTCCCAGTATGGGCCCAGTGCTCCCAGTATGGCCCCAGTGCTCCCAGTATGGGCCCAGTGCTCCCAGTAACCCCCAATGACTCATCCCAGTGCTCCCAGTAACGCCATAGCGCCTTCCCAGTATGGCCCCAGTGCTCCCAGTATGGCCCCAGTGCTCCCAGTAACCCCCAGCCCAGGGACTCATCCCAGTGCTCCCAGTATGGCCCCAGTGCTCCCAGTAAGGGCCCAGTGCCTTCCCAGTATGGCCCCAGTGCTCCCAGTATGGGCCCAGTGCTCCCAGTAACCCCCAATGACTCATCCCAGTGCTCCCAGTATCCTCCCAGTCACTCCCAACATCCTCCCAGTGCTCCCAGTAACCCTCCTGTGCCTTCCCAGTATGGACCAGTCCTCCCAGTAACACCCAGTGATTCATTCCAGTATCCTCCCACTCACCCCCAGTGCTCCCAGTAACCCCCAGTGATTCATCCCGGTGCTCCCAGTGCTCCCAGTAACCCCCAGTTACTCATCCCAGTGCTCCCAGTGCTCCCAGTAACCCCCAACGCCACATCCCAGAAATC